TGGTTTGCCAAGTTGTCTATGGCTTTGAAGCAGTATGGTTTTTGTCAGTCCTATCATGACTACTCTCTTTTTACACTGCATCGTGGTTCTGTCCATCTGCAGGTCCTGGTCTATGTTGATGATCTGATTGTTTCCAGGAATGATACCACATCCATTGCGGCATTCAAGAGTTACATTGAGCCGTTGTTTTCACATGAAGGATCTTGGGTTGCTTAAGTACTTTCTGGGTATCGAGGTTGCCCAAAATTTTTTTGGCTTCTTTCTCTGTCAGCGGAAGTATGCTCTTGACATCATAGCTGAGGTCGGACTACTAGGAAGCAAGCCAGCTGATTTTCCATTAGAGCAGAATCATCAACTCCCTCTTGTTGAGGGTGATCTATTGTCTGATCCCGAGCGATATCGTCATTTAGTCGGACGTCTTATCTATATGGCAGTGACTCGACCTGAGTTATCTTACTCGGTGCATATGCTCTCTCAATTTATGCATCAACCACGTCAGGCTCACTGGGACTCTTCTCTGTGTGTGGTTTGATATTTGAAAGGCTCTCCTGGTCAGGGAATTCATCTTCGTACTGACTGTGATCTTCAACTCTATGCATGGTGTGATTCGGATTGGGCGTCTTGCCCACTCACTCGGCATTCTCTTTCTGGTTGCTTTATTCAACTGGGTCAGTCTCTTGTTTCTTGGGGAACCAAGAAACAACCTACGGTGGCACGCTCTACTATTGAGGCTGAATATCGGGCGATGGCTACTACATTATGCGAGTTGAAGTGGTTACGGGAACTGTTATCTACTCTTGGTGTCGCTCACTCTCAGCCTATGCAGTTACACTGTGACAGTCAATCTGCACTGCATATTGCAACGAATTCGATTTTTCACGAGCGCACTAAGGAAATTGAGGTGGACTGCCACTTTGTTCGAGATGCTGTTCTTCAGGGTCTCATTTCTACTACTCATGTTCCTTCTAGGGCACAACTCGCTGACATCTTCACCAAGGCGCTTGGGAAGCGTGAATTTGATTTCTTTCTTGGCAAGTTGGGCATTCGGAATCCGCATGCTCCAACTTGAGGGGGGTGTTATTGTGTATCTTTGTGTATTTACCGTATTAGCCTTAGGTTATCTGTAGCCCTAATTTTGTGTATATATTCTTGGTTTAGTGAGAGTTGTATCATCCGATTGAGATGATTGTTTGTCCCGTTTTTGTTGCTATTTTCGTTGCTATTTTGTGTGTTGTTTTCCC